CGACCCCGTTGTCCAGTACCGTGAGACCGTTGTTGGCAAGTCCAGCATGACCGCTCTGTCCAAGTCTCCGAACAAGCACAACCGTATCTACATGATCGCTGAGCCCATCGAGGAGGAGCTTGCCAAGGAGATCGAGGCTGGCAAGATCAGCCCCCGTGACGATTTCAAGGCCCGCGCTCGTGTCTTGGCCGACGACTTCGGCTGGGACGTCACTGACGCCCGTAAGATCTGGACCTTCGGTCCTGACACTACCGGCGCCAACTTGCTCGTCGACCAGACCAAGGCCGTCCAGTACCTCAACGAAATCAAGGACTCCGTCGTCTCTGGTTTCCAATGGGCCACCCGCGAGGGTCCCGTTGCCGAAGAGCCCATGCGCTCCGTCCGCTGGAACATCATGGATGTCACCCTCCACGCCGATGCCATTCACCGTGGTGGTGGCCAGATCATCCCCACCGCGCGCAGAGTCCTGTACGCCGCCGCTCTGCTCGCCGAGCCCGCCCTTCTCGAGCCCGTCTTCTTGGTCGAGATCCAGGTTCCCGAGCAGGCCATGGGTGGTGTTTACGGTGTCCTTACCCGCAGACGTGGTCACGTCTTCAACGAGGAGCAGCGCCCCGGTACTCCTCTCTTTACCATCAAGGCCTACCTGCCCGTCATGGAGTCCTTCGGCTTCAACAGTGACCTGCGCCAGGCCACCTCCGGACAGGCCTTCCCCCAGCTTGTCTTCGACCACTGGCAGCCTCTGCCCGGTGGCTCTCCCCTTGATGCCACCTCCAAGGTCGGCCAGATCGTCCAGGAGATGCGTAAGCGCAAGGGTATCAAGGTTGAAGTTCCCGGTGTTGAGAACGTGAGTCTATTCTTTGACCCCCCATGAAGCCACGTATATTGACAATCTGCAGTACTACGACAAGTTGTAAACGCCTTTCCCACGGGTTAATAGAAAACGGCGTTGTGCCTTTTTGGGCATTCATGACGAACTGGGTTTGGTGGATGATATCAAAAATTATGACCCCGTTCTTTCCATAGCTTTCACGTAGTCTCGGAATGAAGACAAGTTCAATATGTACATGTGGCATTATTGTGATATGTGCCAATGCGGTGACGCCGTAGTAAAGCTCTCGATCCTTTTGAGTGTCGGAGCACGCTGAACAAGTACGCAGAAGCCCCTGGATTTGGGCATTTGAGCTACCTAGGTAGGTACCTGGTATTAGCTCGTGTCAGTGCTTCTTTGTAACACGTACCCGCCGATTCCACTTAGGTTTAAAGTGGGTCCATTAGCGACCTGTGTAAATAAAAGGTTTAGCTTTGCTCGGATCAAGTTCTAGCTTCCATCAAATCTTCCCATCTGAGCAAATTTTCGTCTGTTCGAGGGTCTTCCCGCTGAACGACGACAATGACTCCATCCTTTTCTTCGAACACATAAGTTTAACACTTATATATACAACAACCTCTCTTCCTACCTCATGGTCCGGCGCGTGCCGCACTGCGACCATGTTTTTAGCGGCCGAGGACACACCGTTGCTCAGGACATGGCTTATGAACAAGCTGCCTGAAGTGTTCGTCTGCTCCAATTCCCTAGCATTGTTCATCAAGCTGACATTTCCATGTAGATCCGATACGGAAACAGACATTTTGGCAGACTATGTCTTGGCTCTGCTCGCCTCCCAGGAAGGCGACGCGGCGCACATTCGCGAGGCATGCGAAAGCGAATTGCCGCAGTTTCTAAACACAGGTTAGCTACGTCGCATCCACGTGTCCATGGAACAGTCCACTAACCAAGCAATAGAGGCCGCCCCGGAGTTTGTTGAAGAGTTGTTTAATGTCATCGAGCACAAGTCCTACCTCCCCGGCGCGCCTCCCCCACCCAAGAAGCGATCGAAGCCGAGCTTTCCCACTCCCGTCGCGTCATCGGACGTTGCGCCACAGGGTGTGTCGCGAAAACGTTCATATTATGAGAGAGGTGATGCCAGCGCCTCTGGTGAACGAGACTCTGGCTTCGGCGATGAGCGCGCATATAAACAGCCACGTCGAGGACAATTGGATTCGAGGGTGCCTGGTCCGAGAGGGTTTGGCAGTCCGAACGGCTATCACATTCAGCCGCCGTATGCTCTCGACGGTTCTCAACAATTGCCGCCTGCGACGGCGCCATACGACCCCAACTTCCCGCAACCACCGGCTGGTCTCCAGGACTGGCGCGGACTTCCTCAGATGCCGGCCTATCCTCAAGGAGCGCTTCACGGTCCGCCTCACGGCCTGCGAAGGACCAGGCAGAAATGCCGTGACTTCGCAACCAAGGGCTACTGTGCTCGCGGAAATTCCTGCCTGTACGATCACGGCATCGAGCCCATCTGGCTACCCCCCAGCGGTCCCAGTGGGCCTCCCAAGTTCGAGGGTGCGTACACTGTCTATTTTCGTTTCGTTTCGTCTCACTCGTAGCATGATGAGAATTCCATCCGAGCATTTATGCAATGACTTCAGAAAATTTTATTATAAGGTTGACTACTGAAAGCTACACCTGTTTTGATTATCATGAATACTCAAATCCGTTATCCAGTATTGCATGCTAACCATTTGTCAGAATTTGACCCTCGGGATGCGGCAATGATGATGTCGCAAAACTTTCAGCAGATGCAGCAGCTTATCGAGGCCTTCAACGCCGAACGAGGCAGCCGAGACGGCCGTAAGAACCGCCGAGGTGCTAAGGGTAGACGGCGCCAGAATCGTGCCTCCTTCTCCGCGGAAGGCCCTCTTGATGACAGAACCAAAACCACCATTGTTGTCGAGAATATTCCCGAGGAGTACTTCTCAGAGGAAGAAGTCCGCAATTTTTTTTCAGAGTTTGGCAACATCGAACAAATCACTATGCAACCGCATAAGCGGCTTGCAACCGTCAAGTACGACACGTGGGACGCTGCCAATGCTGCTTATCGATCCCCGAAGGTTATCTTTGACAACCGCTTCGTTAGGGTGTTTTGGTTTATCGATGAGAGAGAGCAGGCTGCAGCACGCGCTGCAAACGCCTCTGGTGAGGACCAAGATCCGCCCGAGATCGACTTGGAAGAGTTTATGAAGAAGCAAGAAGAGGCTCAGCGGCAATATGAAGAGAAGATGCAAAAGAAGGCGGAGCTCGACAAACAACGTCTGGAGTTGGAGCAACGTCAGCGGGAATTGCTCGACCAGCACCGAGAAGTCCAGCAGAAGCTGCAGGCGAAGCTGGCGTCCAAAAATGGCGATGTTGAAAACGCCGAGGGTGGCTCGTTAAACTCTGCGCTCCGTGCGCAGCTCGCTGCTCTTGAGGACGAGGCTAAGCTCCTCGGCTTGGACCCGAGCGCAACCGATGACCCTACAACATGGCAGTCAACATGGCAACCAAGTAGAGGTCGCGGCAGAGGCGGTTTTGCTCCCCGTGGGCGTGGCTTCCCTTCTCGAGGCAGGGGATCCTACCGCGGTGGGTACAGAGGTGATGTCCATGCCGCCTATGCGGCGTACTCGTTGGACAACCGTCCCAAGACTGTTTCTGTCACGGGTGTGGACTTTACGTCGCCTGAGAAGGATGAAGTGCTTCGGCAATACCTTCTTGTAAGTTCTTCTTCATCCCGCCCCTTTTTCTCTGCTTTCCTTTGATCTCTTCCCTTCTGATTTTAGGATGCTAATGAAGTCCAGGGCGTCGGTGAATTTACAGATATCCGTACCACTGCTTTCGAGACCGAAGTCACTTTCAAGGATCGGAAGACGGCGGAAAAGTTCTTCTATGGTCTTCCGAAGCAAGAGATTCCTGGCATTGATGGTCAACTTGAGCTGTCTTGGGTCTCCAGATCCTTGACACCAGTCAAGATAACCGAGAACGCCGTATCGAAGCGTCAGGACGCGCTCGATCATGATATGAACACAGGCAACGGCACCCCTAACGAGTCTTCCGCGACGGCACCAGACCAGCAGCCCGAGCAGCAGCAGGAGATGGACTATGATGTCGCGGACGACGATGACTGGGGTGTCGAGTAGGGGAGGATCCCCGGCTGTGGGATTGCCATGCGGCAGATGCACATTGCGATCTGGCTCATGTAATCCTTGTTCGTACAGAGCGCGGAGAGCCAAACGGCTTTATGATTCATGAACACCTCTGTACTATTATCTGTATACCCTGGGAGTAACGAGCTAGGCCGGGTGGCGGCACGAGAGGCTTGGGCAGAGGTTCTTCGGTGATCAGCCGGTTCGAGTAACCCATCATACATCATAGTACGGGACTGAGGGAGACAGGGCAATAGGAAAGAACAATTAATACCAAGACTTGATACCCTCACTACTTTGGGCTCCCACAATGCACCGTGATACCCAGTGCTGCGTTATCATGACTTGCTTGAGTTGGTGAGCCAAAACATTATTGGAGCTACTGATTCTCCTGCCATGCATAATCATGGCATTGTTCTAGGTTATGGAGCGCACTTGCTTTGGATCAAAGCCAGCCCCGACCTCGGTTTTGATGTATTCGGGGGCTGCTGGGGTCCGTCCGTCCGGAAGCGCTTAGTGGCGGTACTTGATAGAGAGAGGGCTTCCAAGCCTTGAGGATCTAACCATAAGAGCTGCCGCAGTCAAGGCAGCACGATGTTTGAGGCAATGGCAAACGCCGAGCACTCGAACAATAGAGAAGCCCAGACTTACGAATTCTCCTAACAATATCACAACAACAGCTTGCCTTCGGGACGTCACGGCCTGTAGAAAATGGATGTGGGGCCGAGTGCCGACCAGCTCGGGCTCTAGCGCCGCATAAAACCCGGACGCCAACTTGTTCGGTGGGAATGCAAAGCACCTGCTGCACAGGACCGGATCCAAAGCAACAGCAACTAGTAAGGGACAAGACTCGTGGCAACGCATAGGGTCAAGGCGTTGATTCGACTTTCAAGACTTTCCGTGCGTTTCAGGTCATGGCTTAAGCCAGAGACTTTCCAAAGCAACCAACCGATCTTGAGTTCCACTCTATCCGCCCCCTCGTTTTCCTCGGAGGACTAGTCTTTGGGCTGCGATCCTACACAGACGGTTCTTGCTGCCCAGGTGTGCTTGGTAAGAAGCTGTGCCGCAGTGCTGCTGCTATTGAGCGTTTTTCTCGTGGCACCAGCGCCTCTGTATGTTTGTTCCAATCGGACATGACGAGAAGCAATGCAGGCCACGGCCACGGCCACGTACTGCATCAGGCCAGTGAGACGTCTCCAGGCCAAGTGCCAGCGCAGAAGAGAGTGGACCTGCGCAGATTGGTGGTGATTAGGAAGCTGTTTTGCTGGGCTCCGGTGGGTGTGCATGAGCAAGGGTCGGGTTGGCATATCGGTCCAAGGGACTTACTTGGGAGGCTCGAGTCTCTCTCCGTCTGTCAACACAGACAATACGCAGTAAGGGGGATAGGATGAGAGACTGTGCAGGGCGACCCTGGGACTCAATGGCCCCGCAGGCCCTCTGGGGATTGGTGCCGTTCCTCGCTAAACCGGCAAGTGCGCAGCTGACCAGACTTCCGAGATAGCGTTTGCAGCGGTCGGGGGCAGCGACGCTGACTTGACCAACCAGCATGGAACCTACCTGTACGCCCGTCCCCGAGGTCGCTGTCTGGTCCAACGGAACGAAAAGCTCCAAGTCTTCCTCACACGGATGGATGGATGGATGGATGCATGTCACTGTCGCCTGCCCCTGTCACAACTGACCGCAACTCACTAAACCCGCTTCAGTTCCCGGCGCCGTCTCCCTCTTGTCATTTGCATTGCATTTTTATTCTTCATATCGGATGGGCTCATTCCTCAACACACTAACGATACTGGCGTCAGCGTTCAAACCACCGGTACCCTTGCTTGACTCAGAACCCAAGTCAAGGGACAAGGGAGCGAAATTGGGGGTGTCGGGCGAAGCGGTGCGCTTATGACGTCCTACCGCCGGACCCATTTGTTAAAGAATAATTAACCTGGTGACTAACACGACGAAACCACCTGACAAAGACACGACCACCAAACACATAAAACACTTTCACCAACGAAGCGAATAGACGACGGGAGGCATGGTTGATTTCTTCTTGCCCGCCGCCAACATTGCGAACTCAACACCAGATCTGAGCCACAGCCGCGCTGTGGTTCAGACCTTGCCAACCAAATCATGCCAATATTTCAGGACGATCTCGAACGATCGTCGCCCGTCGCTGATTGCCCGGATGCGACAGAATCGGTCTCTGTACATCAGCAAACCAACATACCGTCCCTGACGAGAAAGCTCTCCGAAGAGAGCATCCGGACTGAGCTCTGCGAGGGGCTCGTTCTTGAAAGCCCGAGACTGTCAACCCCTGAAAGCGACGCCGCTGCAGTCACATCCGACAGAGCCGAGTTGATTGAGCGACTGAAGCGAGGAGAGAGCCCGACCTGGGTCCCGAACCGTCATGTAGGATCACCTAGAAGCGCCAAAGACACACCCTTTGCTCACAACATTACCCAGCTTGAGTCGCTGTTCAACAACCTGCCCCGTCCAACCACGCCGCGAAGCACCCGCCCGCCATCTAGCTCGTCCAACCTACTACCCCCAGCGAGCGTCACTCCGGAAAAGACAGATGGATCACGAGAGGATAACGAGAGATTCCGCGATGGATTAAGCATACAAAGGCCAAGATCTGCCCTGCACAGCGGCGACTTCACCGAGGACCAGCCGCGGGGAAAGCAGCAAGGGGCACAGAAGGAGGAAGAGCAAACCCCCAGGAACATCAAGTCCTCGGCGTCTCGCAACTCGTGGATCGCGACGTCGCCCCCACGAGACTTTTCGGCCTTTCAATTTGAGGCAAGAATACCTTTTCCGGTCCCGCATGATGACTACAGATCCGTGCCGTCGTCTTTATCCTCGTCATTTTCGTCGAGTTTCGTGTACAAGCCGCCGACAAGCCCGCTCGTTCAATCCGAGAGCAACGACGACATTGACCTGTCGGAACCGCTGCACAGCATCGACATCGCGGCGAGCCCCTTGAACGTGAATTCGCGCCGGCACACATTGAACTCGGTTGCGAGTTCGCCGTTTGCTGTTCCTTCCCCGAGCTATCCTGCACTTCAGAGGCGCTCCTCGCAACGAGGACCGACGCTGCCATATCAAGCACACCAGCCCAGGCGATCCCTTACATCTACCCCTAAGGTGATATCTTCTGGGGCCTCCCCCCAAACGCCCGCATTTCTGAGACCCAGGCGACCCTCCTTCAACGCGGATACTTCCCCCTTGCAGCATGCGTCCATGGTGGGGTCATACGAAGAGAGTATCCTCCGGGGTCGAATGTCGACAACGCCATCGAAACCACTCGATTTTCTTGCGCAGATTGGTGTCTTGGGTCTGGGGAGATGTAAATCTAGTCTAAGGTGCCCGGCCCACGTCACATTGCCTTTCCCGGCCGTATTTTACAGTTATGGAGGAATACCACAAGGTCATGTCCGATCAGAGGACGGGCCAAGCCCATACGTGGGGCAAATTGACCTCGAGAATGGACTACCGAACCCCGAAGAAGGGCAGCGTTCCAAGAGGAAGATGCAGACCAGAGTCGCCGAGCGAAGGATTATTGAAGACGACGTGGCCATGGGCGAAGGCCCTGCAATGGCGGATGGTTCAGACCGCGAGGCACGCAGAGCTCAAAGAGCAAGGCGGAGATCGGGGTCACCAAGAGCGCCGCCGGGTGGAAGCTATCGGATACCCGAGAAGGGTCAGATACAGATTGTGATCAAAAACCCGAACAAGACGGCCGTGAAGCTGTTTCTGGTTCCGTATGATCTTGCCGGCATGGAGCCCGGGACGAAAACGTTCATCCGACAGCGGAGCTACTCGGCTGGTCCCATCATGGAAAACGCGCCAGGGCTCGAAGAGGCTGTGGGCTCGGATCGACCGATCTTGCGTTACCTCGTGCATCTACACATTTGCTGCCTGGCCAAAGGGCGATACTATCTCTATAAAAGCGTTCGGATTGTTTTCGCCAATCGAGTGCCTGACGGCAAGGAGAAGCTGCGCAACGAGACTACCTGTCCGGAGCCTCGATACACGCCGTACAAGCCCGTCCGTGTGATGCACCCGCCATTATCCAACAGCAGCGGTTTCGCAGCCACGCTCACAGCCGAAAAGGCCTTCAGGAGGCGGAGTGCGGTCTTCCCGTTGGGCCAGTCTTTGCACGGGCTCGATGCACTGGAGGGGCTCTCGCGGTCACCGCAAGCCATGGGACAGCAATCATCACCGTCCCCTTTCAGCTTCGGCGACAACAACCAGCCGGTAGAGGCCATTCCATTCGCTCTCTCGGGGCGGACTCGACATGGGAGCGATATTAGCGATAGTACAAACACCACCACCACCACCACCACACCTGGCATCCTCTCGCCGCAGTCGTCGCAAGCAAGCAGGCCGACAACCAAGGACGGCTGGGAAGATCACATCGCTCGATACCAAAAACTGAACAAAGGTGACGTAGGATACGGCGGCAACGCGTTTGCCCCTTCTGGGCTCGGAAGCCCAGGCGGCACGGAAGGGTTACTTTCTCAGCGCCTTCGGTCCCTCGGAGTACAGAATCAGGACGAGCTGCCTTCGAACAAGCAGGCGAGTCGGGAGTAAATCGCATATTGTACATATCACATTGAAATGACAGTTATTGTTTTGGGTTACATAGGTTTCGGGTTTTTGTTCGTCATACGGAGTGTATCATAGAGGGCGTTTGGGTTAGGTTTTTTGGTTGTGGGCTGGGGCGGCACTCCTCATAGGGAGCACAACACATAATTACTCATCCTGGCTTCCCAGGCGTCTTGCAACGTGACTAAACAGGACCCTTGGAACGCTCACCAGGCTAACGACGTGGTGAAGGGTGGACGCTCGATACCTCCGAGAACCTTAATCATCAGTTCGCTAGGACCCGGCGGGGACCTTTAGCTTTCCGCCGGCCGAGTGCGAGATCGATCCCAGCACTTGACGGCCTGTGTCCTGAATGGACACGGACGACGCAGCTGTGAAGCGGGCCGAAGACGTACGTTCCGTACTGCGAGGTGAGTCTAGATCGGGAACGTCAGATGATACCTTAACTGAATGCAATGTAGACCCGTATTCCAAGTCAAAGGGCAGGTGCATCGTGAGGACGCAGTTCTTGCGTCTTCAGACATCGGGCCAGGAGGAGCGATACCAAATGGCGCAACTCAACTTGCAACCTGGGAGATCCACATACGTCAATGACAGACAAGATGCGGTTGATATTTTGCTTCTCATGTCCAAGCATACCCATTGAGTTGTCATTGGGCTTTAAATCTATCTGTTGTCGATATCAGACGGTTTCACCACGCCGTGTTGTCGCCGTCGCCCGCAGCAGGGTGAAACGCGCCTCTGGTCATTTTCCTAAACGATTCCTTCGTCGTATGTCTCTGAGCGCAACTGTTGGCTTCAAGTCACCGACGTAGAATGGAACCACCAAATGCGCAATGGCCGTCGTGGAACACATCGTTTTGCTGGTTATTCGGACCATGTGGCTGTGACGCATTTTCCCACCTATGCCACGGCCATGCCCAAGCTTTCAAATACCCTGGGCAGGCAGTCCCTTCCTCCCCCTTCGCCTGTGTAAAGAGATTCTTGGACGATCAAGACCTTGATTACCCTGCGGCTCTGCGGATCTGGTCGGACCTCGACGACCATCCGCACCATCATCCCTGCAATCCAAGCGAAGCATCCCCTCATTCTTACGAAGAGTCACTATTATAGAAGGGCCAGATGAGGCCGTCTCTAGCTCTGCTGCTGTTCGCAGGACTGCTGTGTCACCGGACCGCGGCGTTGAGTGTACCGAAGAACCGCGATCGGGACTTGTCACATTTACTCTCCGGCAAACTCGACGTCCTCGACAGGGTGCCCGGCCTGGTGAACAAGGTCCTCAGCACAACGATCCTTGTGGTGCGGGCGCTGAGAGAGACAATCGACGACAATGGAGAGACCCGGAACGACTTGGATACAGCGCTCGGGTTCAACAGCACCACAGGCTTGCCCATAGGAAATTCGACGTCATCAGTGTCATGTCCAAATATTGCCGTCATCTATGCTAGGGGGACGAATGAGCCAGGCATGTCTCGGGTCGTAAGGGGTTGATTTGCTAATTAGAACGACTAACAACCATCAGGCAACGTGGGCTTTCTCACCGGCCCGCCCTTTTTCGACGCCCTCAAGACGTACGTGAACGGCACCGGCACTTTGTCCATCCAAGGCGTCAACCAGTACCCCGCGGAGCCCGCGGGCTTCTTCGCGGGTGGTTCCATGACGGGCGCCACCGCAGCCGCGCAGGTGGCCTCCCGCACGCTGACAATGTGCCCCAACACGCGCCTCACCATGTCGGGCTACTCACAGGGCTCGCAGGTGACCCGCCTGGCCATTGCTCAGCTGACGCCCGATCAGCAGGCCCGCATCTCGAGCGTCGTGCTCTTCGGCGACCCCCTCGGCGGCGCGGCGGTCTCCGGTGTCGACGAAACGCGGCTGCTCGTTGTCTGCCACGCCGGCGACAACATCTGCGAGGGCGGCAACCTCGTCTTGTCGCCCCACCTCGACTACAGCAGCGACGCGCCGACGGCGGCGCTGTTCGTCATGCAAAGGAGCAACCTTGGCCTCGCGAGTCGGGACGCGGAGAACGAGGGGATGAGCGGGACTGTGGTGGGCAAGGTGCAGGGTATCATGCTTTCTCCCAAGCACGGAATAGCGAGCGATTAGACAGGCGGGCTCTTCTTACGAGAGATATGTTAATTATGTCTTTTCACGTGTTTTCTTTTCTTTTGCATCGTACAATAAAAAGAGGTATCACGATTGACTTATCGGGAGGCGAACTAATAAGGAGAAACAATATTGTTACACACGCTTCGTGTCGAATGGGGAAAGACCTGGAACCATTCTAGAATACAGTCACTTGACAATACAGACCTCCT